CTCTAAGTAAGACCTGACCACTCTCGTTCAGCTCAGTTCAATTTCGAACGTTCGTCTTGGGATACGTGAAAGTGTTGTTTAGTGAATTAATGGTCTATTTTTGTTTAGATAAATGGTTACCGTATTCATTGAGTGGTGTGTTATTTTTAGTTCATCATTCCGCAAGACCTAGTACTACTAATCGTGGAAAAGTGTTAGACTTAGTTGGTGTTTATTAGCTTCTATAGGTGTGTTCTCTTAACCTATTTATTAAATTTAATATTTTATGTTATTATGTCGTATAATGCTATTTGTACGCATGCTCGTATTTTAATTATATATGTTTGCAATAAGTTTGATTTCTTATTAATGTTGCATCATTTTTATTTATACATTGATGCATTTCTATCATCTGCATGAAATCCTTTATGGAGGGCAAAATTCTTGTCTTGTTTTTATATGGGATCCTCTTTGGAGGGGTCCCTATCTCGATTTTTGTATTTTGATTTGGGTACCTCTTCAAAGGGTAACATTCTCATCTTGTTTATCTGGGACGAAAGATAATGGTGTAGAATTTCTATCATAATATTTCTGTAATGAACTGTTAATTATTGTTGTATGTGATTTGATTTACACATCATATCTTATATGAAGTATCTAATATTTTTTTATCGATGCCTTTTGTACTTAAAGGACACATTGAGTTGTATAGTTCACTCTTTTAGTTTATCTTTTTAGAATCTCTGACTTTTAGGATTATGAACGGTACTTTGAGGATTGTCTAGTAGCACATTTCTTTTTTTAGACTTTGTATGTACGTTTTCAGACTCTATTATATTTTTTCTGTTAATTTTTATTATATACTTTTATGGGAATTTCAGGAATATTATATTTTTATCAGTTTTGGATTTTAAACTCTTATTATGATATATTTTATGAACTCTTATTTTGTATTATAGGTTTATACTGATTTTCTGACAATGCATGTTACAATATGAAATTTCAAGATTTTTGTTGATCTGAATTAACGTGGTCTCTGAGATTCAATCGTAACGTCTGAGCCAAATCTAGGAGGTTACATACATTTTATGATTATCGATGACTATCTCCATGGTAAAATATAATTATGCTTGTATCTAATTATTTAGGATAGCGAAATTCAATGAAGAAACAAGCTAGAAGACAACAACAAAAAAGGTTATCACCATTGAAAGAAGGATTTAGAAGAGAGAGAGAGAGAGAGAGATATTCTACAAAGTTTTGAGTACTCAAAGCAATAATGCATGGGAAAACCACATTTCAATTGTTAAAAGTTCTTTGTTTTAAAGGGGAAGTTATACCGTGTGGTAGCCTTAATATACGGCTAAGGAAAGGCGTTATCAATTTTATTATTATTTTTTTAACAAAACCGGTAAAAAGTTATCTAAAACATTATTATTTCTACCTAAAACATTAATGTTTTTTAACATTTCCGGTAAAGTGCTCAATAATAATAAAACCGGTAGAAATAATAATGTTTCCAATAATTTTTTATCGGTTTTGTTAAAAAAATAATAACAAAACCAATAGCGTCTTTCCTTAGCCGTATATTAAGGTTGTCGCACGTGAAACTTTCCATGTTTTAAAGCTGAAAACTGATAAAACATGACTCATGACCGTACAATTCCGTTAATGTTAGATAAGATGGTGAAACTGTCGTTTTGATGTCAAAATAAATTTCTTCTTCTCAGTTAATAAATAAAGGAAATACGTAGTAAAGAGAAGTAATGGTGGATCTTCAGGGACTTAAAAAATTCCAAATTTATGTTTGAATGGCTTAAACCAGGCGATAAGTAGTAAAAGGGGTTTTGGTAAAAAAAGGATTACATAATAAAAAGGGATTTAAAGAAAAATAAAGAGAATAAAAATCGAAGGTTGAAAATGAATATGGTAAAAACATAATACTTTGTCTATAAGGGCAATCCTCGTGACTCTATTTGTATACCGAATACCCAAGACAATCTTTGATTCCGGCTTCAGAAATTGATCTGATCAACGACAATTTTCGTAGATCAATAATTGTTTAAGTTCGTGAAGACCGATTTAGATTGTTGTTTCAATAACTACTAATTCCGATCGCAATTCCCTTTTGGCAAGGCAATCTCGCCAAGTGTGTTCCCAAGAAGTCAAATGTGCTTTCAATAAGCCGATCTTCTTCCCACACATTTAATCGCAACAACATATTGGTCAATATTTGATTTTGAAAACTGTTTTGATTTTGAAAACAAGCGCATAGATTGAGAGAGATATTCCGAAGTTATTAATGTGCTTTTCAATTCTCACATTGGAATTGAGTCATCGCTTCAACTCTCGGCTTATGAGAAATTAGCTTAACATGACAAAAATCATAATTAGCATGTTTAAAAATAAAAATGAAAACGAAAACTTGAAAAGAAAAGAGAAAACTTTATAAAACTATAAATAGGAAGAAGAGTAAATTCTGAGTTGTCTGTTTAGGCTTACCCCTAAGAGGGTATTTATAGCCTCTAAAACCCTAAAGATAAACATAGAAATTAAAAAAAATCCTAAAGATAATTCTAAATGTTTTCTAAATTCAAACTTTAAAATTTAAAAATAAATTCTCCTAAGATATATCTGCTCGTCCACCTTCCAGAAAGCACTGACTAGATCTTTTAGAAAATTGCTACTGACTGGACCTTCTAGAAACTACCACGTCAGACCGTGTCATGTCCAGAGTTGTGCCCATGTCTCCAGTCGTGATCAAATAATAAAAAAAATATAGAATGCGCCCGTTTTACTGCTAATTCTGAAAAGTAAGATCCTGCACGAAAATAAGCATAACACAACTAAATCAACAATAATAAATCTATAAGATCAAAGATTTAACAAGCAAATAATATCGTTTTAGAACACTCATCAGATGGATGTGTTGGCTTTGCATCATGCTGCTGCCAAATCTAAACCTAAAGCTGGATCAACACCCTTTAGTAGAATTGATTATTTTTACTCGAATAAATGACAAACATATACACTCTCCCCGGTGGATCTATTATTACGCGAGGATATGTAGTATATTTTATACTATTAATATATATATATATATATATATATTCATCTTCAAAAATATTTTTAAACTCGTTGGTATACACTCTTTTCCTGCATTGTTCTGTTTTAAAAAGTGAGATTTCAATATCATATTTATCATGATTCTAATCATGTTTATACAATTTTCCATCATATTGTATCAAATTCTTTTATATTTTCCATGTTTGAGTTCATGTTTTGATTTACCACAAGGATTTGTTTTGTTTTTTTTACTCCACATCAAAACAAAAGCAAACAACCTATTCCCCTTGTCTCCATGATGGGAAGCACACGTGATAAACAATGCAATAACGCACCAACTCCCACCACAATCATCATCACTACACAGCCATCAAACCTAAGCTTTTAAGTTCTCAGCGAAAAAGAAAATGAACATTTCCCTTGTTTGTTCAATGGCTCACCACGAAATCGTCTTAAAGTTGCTTCCTAATCAAGTTTGGGAGAATAATTAGAAAAATGATTATGTGTCGTAATATTTTTTTACGTTCGCTTTTAAGTTTTTATCGATTTGAAGTTAAACAAACTAAATCTAATTCATGTTTTTTATTTAAATTTTTATTAATTTTTTATCAGTTTTGAAATTAGAAAAGTGGTATAAAAATAGTATTTTTCTTCAAATAAAACCAACGCCAGCGTTTGCAGGTCTTATTGTGCATTTGGTTGTTTGGGTTAGATATGGTTAAATGAAATCTTATATGCAATCACTACATGCATATAGACTTATATTTTAGACATAAGAAATCGCTTTCAAAGCAAGAATTGAAAACAATACACCCCTTTAAGAAATTAGACTTCTGGGTATCAGAAAAAGAAAAAAGAAATTGGACATCTTTTTCATGGGAGAAATTCAAGGGAATCCCTGTCTTTTTCTCGAGTTGTCAATTGGCTCCACTCAATCTAAAGGGCTAAATTACTTTGACAAACGTACCTTTATCACTTTATGATCATATCATATCCCTTAGCTTAAACATAGAATGCATCCCTTTCTCTTTATAGAAATTATTCTTATGCTAATATTTTTTTTTGGAATTGTTTTCTGTTCAGAATTTTCTAAAACATAGGCAATGCACCCACAATTTGCAAACGTAACTATTTAAACTTGGATCGTCAAAAGAGAACAACATTTCATGTTATCACTGAGATCACTTAATAAGTTATTCTACTAATACTTTTATCAAAGAATCAACATTTTCTTATAATTCAGTTCCATTTTCTTAATCCCGAGTTAAAGGATGTTCTTATAGATAAAGCACACAGCTCCATGTTTGGTGTCAAAGATTATAAAGCGACTTTTTTTTTGAAGATGGTCCATGAACTATCAAAGACTGAGGAAAAAGTTAAAATTTTCTGGATTCAGGGTCCCACCGGAATTGATGGAAGCATCATCAAATCCTTCAGTTGTAACTGCATCTGCAAGATTTTTTTTTTGGCAAATAATGTAACTGAAACCAAAGAACAAGCTTCCTACAGCCTTTCACTTTTGAGGGGTGGCTATTCCCATGATTAATTTATCGTAAAAATATTTGTTTATAGAGTGGATTAGAAGCAAACGGCCTCTTTATCCAGACCCAGTTACCAGTTGTCAAGTAATCATTCAGCCACGTCCACCGTTGAGTCTCTTACAAGAGATGACACCAATGGATTGCAAATGTAGGGGGGGGGGAGGTAATCCATCAATATATGGGAACATGCCATATGGGGATGTGTGTTTATGTGTTTTGAGGTGAAATTGGCAGTTAAAGTTGCTGTCATGTCACAAATGTTAGTCAAAATCCCTCCATTATAGTGAAGAAAAAGGGTAAGAAACAAAAGACAGGCTATATAAGAGAGGTAGGAGAAAAAATTGGCATCTTGTATGATCAATAGTAAAAATTTCGACAGTTTAGTGTGGTTTGGGATTTCAATATACTAATTTTTCAGGTCACCTTCTTCAATCAAAGAGTAGTCCACCAGCCTTTTACCTGTTCATGCCTTCATGGATAGCGAGGGCTCCAAGCATGTTCCACATGAAGTGCCCAATTTCAAACAGCAACATCCTCAAGGCATGGGAGATAACAAGGCAGCTGAAATCCAGGATTCCCAGATTGTTATTTCAGATAAGGAAGGGAAGAAACAACAGTTGTCCCCAAAGAGAAGTCCTAAGAAGGACAGGCATACCAAAGTTGAAGGAAGAGGTAGAAGGATAAGGATACCTGCTTTATGTGCAGCAAGGATTTTCCAGTTGACCAGGGAGTTGGGTCACAAATCCGATGGGGAAACAATAAAATGGCTGTTACAACAAGCCGAACCGTCGATAATCGCCGCCACAGGAAGCGGAACGATGCCGGCATCAGCTTTGGCAGCTGCTGGACTCTTCGTTTCGCAGCAAGGGGCGTCTCTATCGGCAGGGTTGCACCAGAGGATTGAAGATTTAGGGGGGTCCAGTGGGACCAGTTGGGAAATGGTTGGGGGCAATTCGGGACCCCACCATGTGGGAACAGGGTTATGGTCCCCGGTCAGTAGTAATGGTTTTCAGTCATCATCTGGTCCATCTACAACAAATTTAGGCACTGAAAGTAGTAACTATCTGCAAAAGCTTGGGTTTCCTGGTTTTGACTTGCCTGCAGCTACTAACATGGGTCAGATGAATTTCTCCTCAATCTTGGGTGTGGCTAACCAGCAGCTACCTGGTTTGGAACTTGGGTTGTCTCAAGAGGGTCATGTTGGGATGCTAAATCCTCAAGCTTTGAGCCAGATTTATCTGCAGATTGGGCAGGCTAGGATGCACCAGCAGCAACAACCCTCTCCTAGGGATGATTCCCAAGGATCCGACCACTACAGTTATAAACTTTGAGGGCAAGATTAAAAGAAGTAGCATTTCTGATATAGTAAGGCTTTTTTCTTGTAATTTTCTCTCTCAGAGACTAGAATGGTTATTCATTTGGCTCCCCTTCTTCTCTCTACACTGCATCATCCAACTTTCCATCACAGAGGTGCTTTTCTTGATTCTTGTCTTCTGTTGAACTTACACTCTCCAATGTCTAGAGAGAAGTATTAATATGTCTTGTGCCTTGTTGCTTTTTCTATGGAATGTGAAGGTGGAGACTGGAGAGCTTTTCACGGCCCGGTAGCTCGGTTTTCGGCCTAACTTCTTGTTTGATTCAGAGGTGTGTTCATTATGATGTAAGGAAAAAACTAATGGGGAGGCAATAGGGTTTTTTTTTCAAACTAAACGTACAAATTTACTGCCATCCATGTCTAGTTTCTTCTTAGAATCAATTAAGTAAGAATTCTCTTTTCCTCGAAAGAATATGTTGCTGCACATAACATGGCCAATTACTAGTAACCTCGGACTACCAGAGGCTTGCATGTTTACTAACATCTAAGAACCTGATTCTCTTTTCATCAATTCCAAGTTGTTTCCCTTTGCAAGTTTGTTGCCTATATGCATTGCTTTAAGCATTGACATCACCTTCTAATAATGTGAGAATGATTGCGCTTTAAACCAATGCTTGATAGATTGATTAGAAGAAACTGCAGACAATTTATAGTCATTCTTTGGAGTTACCAATTACCTATGCCAACAAAAGATTGAGGGACTGGAATGGAAAAAGATAAAAACTATGCACAACCTCCATTGAACAATTTGCCTAGAAAAGGATAAAAAACTACCCTTTTGAAACTCAACAACATCCTCTCCATCTGCAAATTCTCGGTTAGATTGTTCTTCAGGTTTTGTCATGAAAACCATATTGCATTGTTCTGTTAGTCCCAGATCATCAGCTTACTAGTACAGATATTCGAAGTCGGATATGCACGATCGTAATCGGAATCATCAACGAAATATTCATGACAAGTACCGAAAGCCTCCCATATAGGATCATTAGAGGCTTACAGGACAATGATGAATACCCAAAATGAGGGAGATTTTGAGATTTACACCTCAACGAGCATACTTATGTGCTAAAACAACTGTATGACCTGTTTAGCTCTCCCAACATGTTTACGAGTTCTTGTTTCCAGTCGGTAGAAATATCAACATTTCGGCATGAGGATTTAGATTTATCAGATTCCTGGAGAAGGGTCGTCATGGCTTTCATTTTCTTGTCCAAGTCTGCAAAATAGTTGATAAAGGACGATTTAGTTTAATGCATGTGGGATCAAGTTTATGCAGATATATAGACCTAGCGGCTGTTATCACTAGCACAGAGAGAAAAGAGGATATTCATGATTTTTACTGACCTGATATAGTTTGAGGCCATTGAATTGGTAGAGGATATTATTCGTTTTTCTTTAGATTCTCAAATAATTATGGGTAATTTTTATTCATACATTTATCAGAAATTTGGATTAATAAATAAATTTGTTGATTAATAGTTGTTTTTATAATAGAAATTTTAAGTCGGATGTAATTTAATATTTGATCTATTGATTGTTTAAATAAAATTTGTTAGCACTTATAATTTATTTTACTTGTAAATACTTATACCGGTCATTTACTATTGATTTCAGATTTAAAATTGTTTTAAGAAAATGATTATATATTTATTTTAATCTATTTAATTTAATAAATTTAATTTTTAGTTATAAAATTTTATTGGTAGAAAATAAATATAACAAAATTTAAAGAAACAACAAAATCAAATCAAGGACATAGAGTGGGGTGTTCGTGCACTAGCCAATGGACCAAATCTGTCACTGAATATACATATGATTAAATGTTATTTTATTTGTGAAAATTAAAGAATTTGAAATTTAGGATCCTTCAAACTAGGAATTAAAAGGAAAAGAGAAAATAACCTCAGTTGCCGAAAATGTCTTATAATATACGATTTTAACAATTTTTTTTTTGGATTTGCGAAAATGACCAACAAATTCGCAACACGAACTCCAATTTCGTAACGCGAATATGTAAATCGCATTGCGATTTTCCAAATTCACGTTGCGATCTTCCAAATTCGCAACGTGAATCTGTAAATCACAACGCGAATTTGTAAATCGTAACACAGAAGTCAAATTCGCAACGCGATAGTCAAATTCGCAACGCGATAGTCAAATTCACAACGCGAATCTGTAAATCGCAACACAGAAGTCAAATTTGCAACATAGAAGTCAAATTCGCAACGCGGTGGTCAAATTCGCAACACTGAATTTCAAATTCGCAACGCAAAAGTCAAATTCACAACGCGAATTTTATTTTATTTTCGAATTCGAAACACAATATTAATTTTGCAACACAAATGTAAACAGTATTATCGCAAATCATAAACTAAAACCCTAAATCACAATTCAGTCTCATCTCCATCTCTCACTCTCTATGGCGAAATCCGTCCCCATCTCCGACGAAATCCGTCCCCATCTCCGGCGAAATTCGTCTATCCCTCACAACCATTCACGGTCAGAAATGGAAAATCAACCACCGAGGGTTAGTTTTTTAATCTCTTATTTTTATTTTGAAATTTTTGTATTATTATTAGATTTTTCTTATATTAATGATAAATTTACTGGTAATTTAAATAATATTAAGATTAATCATTTCATTGAGATTGCTTAGTAAATTCATTCGGTTGCTGCCAATACTACTAAACTGTTTAGTCTTTAACCCTGTGAAGTTAGTAATTGTCTTTGTTTTGTCTTTTTGTTGAATAAATACAATTCATTCAAGTTTCAATTGCAGAAGAATAGTTTTTTAAACTTAAATTCGCAACACGAAAATGAAAATCGCAACACCAAAATCGCAACGCGAAAATGAAAATCGCAACGCGAAATCGCGTTGCGATTTTCATTTTCGCGTTGCGAATTTAAGTTTCAGAAACTACTCTTATTCTGCAAATTGAAACTTGAATGAATTGCATTACTTCAACAAAAAGACAAAACAAAGACAAATACTAACTTCAGAGTGTTGCTAATTTAAGTTTCAAGAATAAACTACTATTCTTTATATTGTCCTTGAACCTGCACTAAACCTATATGTTGTCCTTTTAAATGTTTATATAAGTGCTTACTTTTGGAATGTTATTTGATGCATTTTGTGAACTATGATGGAATAATGACTTGGGTGAATACCGTGCTAGTTTGAAACATATTTGACTTTGTTTTCACTGTTTAATATCATGTATGTTTATAGTGTATAATTTGTAGTTTTTGGTATATCTAACTTGGTATGTTTATTGTTTTTGTAGAAATTTTTTTCGGTTGCATTGACCTTAAGGAATAAATTAAGCCTAGCCACTAAAATTGCATCGACGTTTACACCTCTACAAAGAAAATTGTTTGAGGATACTTGCTTCGGGCCATGGCTGAAAGTACAACATACGGGTGGAGATGCTATGTTGACACATTTGTTTCTTCATACCATGACTAACGATCTACTCGAGAGGATATAACGTGATGATGAAGAGATATGGTTTCATTTTCCTTCGGCACCGGCGTATACTTGTTTTGGGAGGGAGGAGTTTTGCTTAATCACTGGTCTACACTTCGGACACGATGAAGTAACCCGGTACACTAGTCATATCTCCCGCCCATCATGGTTATCTCGGGTTTTTCCTGAGTTGGCAAAGTCGAAGCTGAGTTTACACGTCGACAACTTGAAGAGATTATTTGTTAAAGATGGTTTTACTCGGATTGATGACCTTGATGTTGTCCGAGTATGCCATTTATTACTTTTGCATGCCGGCTTTTTAGGCAAAGAGGGCAGACAACCTATTTCTGAGGACCTAATATTATTGGTAGAGGACCTAAATGCATGGAACCTATTTCCGTAGGGTTCATATCTATGAAAAGCTACCTGGAAGAAGTTGTCGTCTGCCTTTAAGGACCGAAAACGATTGTGGGGCGATGGTTCTAAATACACTTTGACAGACTTTACTTGGGCCTTTAAGGTAAGAATTTTTATATAATGTTTCCAAATTTATAATTAATTAATTATTTAACAATTACTGATGTTTGTGTATTATATTGTTTGTAGATTTGGATATTTGAGACTTTTCCCAGCATGCGAACATATGCGATAAAAAATTCAAATGATATTCCTAGGGCTATTACCTGGAAGAGGATCCGCATGTTAGATTTAAAAGAGTTACGACCATATACGTCGATTAATAATATAAGTTAACACACAAATACTACCATATAGTTAAACAAGTTATTACTAGTACACGTTTAACTTTGTTTGAGCTTTTATATTATTAGAAGGCTAACTATCCATTACAGAGGCTGACACCCATAGAGGCTGAGCATGCCACTGATTGGTGGCAAGCTAGTAAGCGGTTTTTTGATGGGACGGGTGATGAGCACCCCCCACTTCGAGAGCCATCACCTGATCAGGCCGATTCTACAGCTCGACACCCGGAGCCATCACCTGATCAAGCCTCTTCTCTACCTCCACCATCACCTATTCCATCACATCATCGAGCTTCTTCTCCACTATCACCTCATGATAGGCGACCGGCAAAGAGGCCACGGCATTTATCTCCCTGTTCTCCACCTCTACGGGATAAGTTAGGGGAGTTACGTGATGAATTCGGTGCTTTGCGTCATGAGGTCGGTACTTTATGTGAAGACAATGGTGCATGGCGTGATGAGGTACAATCTTTACGTGGTGAGGTGGATGTTTTACGCGATGACAATGGTGCACTACGTGATGAGGTATCTACTTTACGGGATGAGGTATCCGCTCTATATGAGATTGTTTCATCGTTGCAAAATGAGGTTCATACTCTACGCAATGAGGTAAATTTGTTTAATACTATACTAAAAATGCAAATAACATTTTTTGGCATTATTTATTTATTTATTTACTGATTTATGCATTAATTTATTTTCAGCGGCCTGATAAGGTAGATGCTTTACGTCGGATTTTTCTTGCACGACGGGTTTCACGCATCAAACGTCATACACGTGCCATTACATCTCTTTTCACCCCACTAGTGTCAAGACTCCGTAAGAAGAATCCTGATTCATCTATCATCGTTCAAGAGGCCCCTCCCACCGATCAAGAGGCCCCTGTCATTGTTCAATGGGTCCCTCCCACCATTCAAGAGCCCGATTCACAACACGTCATTTGTCGACATATTGATAAACCCCCTCCTGTGCCCGATATGATGGATGTGTGTTGACTTTCGTATGAGTTACCGACCAGTACTATTCCTCAGCAGGAGAGAGAAACACTACCGGACACAATTACGGATAATACCCTTTGGGCTAAGACCGCAGTTGATTTTTATCTACATGAGCAGAGCCAGGGGTGTTATTCTGACATATGCAAGCTCGACGATGTTCTGTATTTGTTTCTTGATCGGTCTTGGTGGGGTATTTTTATTAGGGGTTGAAGATAGTGACTATTTCGAAGGGGGGTCAGTCTTATATTCTTCTTATATTGCATTTTGATTAATTTTTTTTTAATTTATTAATAAATTCACTAATATATGTATTTTTTTTTATAAAACAGCATAATGATGCATGGGTGTCACATCTTCTAGTAATAAGGAAATTGAAGAAAATAAAAAATACTCGATAGACTATTATGCCGACGTCTTTTCACGTAGCTCACTTGAAGGATCCGAGAGATTCTTCATATACGTTGGCTAATGGAAAAGCTAAACTTTATCATTCATGGTGGGAGGACGATAAGGTTAGTATTTATTTTTTGAATATTTTAAAGGTGTTCATAAATTTTATTTGATGTGCGCAATTATTTATGATTGCAGGTGTTTATCCCTGTTTTGGAACGTCGTCATTGGCTTCTCGTTGAGCTTCAACTCCCATCCATGAAGATAATGGTATATGACAACATGTTGAATTACATACCATTGTTTTATTTGAGAGATATTATTACAAAGGGATGGAGCGCTCATTTGGCTAAATACTTGGATGCGATTGATTATTGGACTAATTCTGGAAACAAGAAGCCAAAAAAGTTCGAAGTTACAATGATCAGAGACGAGACTGCGCCACAATAAACACAATGAGCCATAGGGGATTGTGGTCCTCTCGTATGCATGTGCTTGGAATGCCTGACGACAGGAAGTAAACATTTTCTACCACCCCACAGATAGAGATAGAGGTGCAGTAGGCTTGTGGTTTCGGCATTTTATGGCTAGAGCGATATATGAGAGACGTTTCTTACCTGCATCCGCGTGCTGAAAGTGTGCATAAATAATTGGTAAGTTTGAGCAAGTGTTGTTAACATATATACTCTTTAATTGGTTTGAAAATATTTGGTTAAGTACCTAGAATTCAGTAATTTGCTGTTTGTTGGTTTTAGATGTGTAGAAAGTGTTGTTTGAGCAAATGTTTGGTTTCTGCAGGTTAATCCTGAAGTGAGCTGCGTGAAATTGATGTGCATAAACAACAGTCTGGGGTACATTTTTTTGCTTGTTTAATTGAATTTTACATTGAAAGTTGATTTGTTTAATTGATGAGGAAATAAGAATTATTTTTTGATTGTTTAATTGATTTGTAAAAGTTGATTTGTTTAATTTGATGTGCAAAT